TCTCGGGGGCGGCGCCGCAGGGGGACGCAGCGCCGGCCGCAGCCGTGTTCGCCGCCGCAGCTCTCTTTTTTCTCTCGCGGACGCCTGGGCTGAGGACACGATGTCGGGTGTCTCCCGCCGACTGCTCTGGGCCGCCACCTGCCTGGCCGCGCTCTGCGTGGCGGCGGCGCAGACTCCCAACAGCAGCGTAGCTCCCAACGTGACCGAGATCGTCACCAGCAAGCCGGTCCCGACGACGCTCACGCCCACCGCGCTGCCAGGTGGGCGCCCGCCACTCGGGCCGACCCGGGGAGTGGGGGGCGCGCGCGGTGGGGGGAGTGGGGGGTACCCCGTGCAACATGGCCGCCCGGGCCCGGGGCCGCGGCCCGAGGGCCGGTGGGGTGGCCGAGGCTCCGGGCGAGCTTAGGCCGCGGGGCTGATCCCGCTCCCCGAGCGCTGCCCGCAGAGGCGCCGTCCCCAGGCGCCGCAGCCCGGGACGGCGACGTGGCTCGCTTCCGCGGTGGCACTTAGGAGTTCCCGGGCGAGGCGAGGCCAAGCGCCCCGAAGTCGGCGGGGAGCGCAAAAACTTTGGGCTCCCGGGCCGGGCTCTGGTCCACGCGGGGCTGTCCTCCCCTCGAGGCTCCTCCGGAAGTTGAAAGTAGGAGTCCGGGGTCGGGGAGAAAGTTAAAGATGAACTGGTGGTCGCCGTCGCCGCCACCACCCCTCGCCCCCCGACTCGGCTCTGAGAAATCCAGCCTCCCGTGACTTCGCCTTGCCTTGGCCGAGCCGCGTGAGCTGCTGCCCCTGAGATTTGAGTGTGTAAGGGGAGAAGTACCGGCGCGTGTGGCGGGCGCTTCGAGGCTGGAGGGGAAACCCAGGGCGATATTAAAAAAACAAAAAGGGGGGGGGGGCAAGATAAACTTTTCTCCCGGGGCCCTGCGTTTTGAGGGTTGTGGAGTTCGGTCTGCCGGCTTCTCAGATACCCGATCGGAGAACGTGCCTTTTGTTAAACGCGAGGCTTATTCAGATTGACATAGGCCGTGACAACGCAAATGAGACGGGGAAGATAAATTGGAAGTAATGGGGTGAAAAGGCACGAAATGTTTAGATTGGTTGTTGTACTTAATTGAGGTAAGAAGTAACTGCGCTACTCAACTAAAGGATTGCTTAAGTGTAAAGACTTGACATTGGCTTTTTTTTTTTTTTTTTTTTTTTTTTGCTTATGTTCTAGTACCTTCTCTAGTTTCAGTATTTTATAAAATGTAATACGAATAAAATTGCATGGAATATCCGATTTCTTGTTAGACTCTGAAAGATGCTAGGGTAAAGTTCAAATATTTTTAAATGAACAAAGTAAATTTCAGAACGATTCTGGGAATTTCTATCACAGTTAAGATGATAAAGCAAAAAAAAAAAAATTTTTTTTTTTTTTTGCCTTCTGCTTATTTGACAATTTCCTCCCAGAATTGTAATGTGTGGGTTTTTTATTTTGTTTTGAAGAGAAGCCTGGGAATACCAAGTTAATTGCCTTTGTATAACTGAAATACCCGGGGAGGACTTAATTTGTATTTTCTGGAAATTATGGGATAAGCTGCAGTGTGGGGAGTAGCATTCCCACGCTGTACCCATCATCAGGCATACAAGATCGTGACTCTAGTATGTCGTAAGAACGTGTGCTCTGTGAATGCCCTTATCCACCAGACATTGCCCTGTTTCCAGTAAATGTAACTGTTGGACGCAGCGATTCTGCGGAAGTGTTTGCTGAGGCAAGATGAAAGCGGAGGAGGATAGTGTAGGCATCTGGGTTCTAGAAAAGAAATGAAGTTAGCCCCAAAGAATTGCAGTTGGCCATTTGAGTTCTTGTTTTTGGACTGTTTGGTTTAGAGCAGTGGTCCTCACCCTTCCTCATGCTGCGACCCTTTAATACAATTCCTCATGTGGTGGTCACCCCCAGCCACAAAATGATTTTCATTGCTGCTTCATAACTAATTTTGCTACTGTTGTGAGTCTATCTGATATGCAGGATGGTCTTAGGAGACCTCTGAAAATGTCGTTGGACTCCCCCTTCCTGAAGGTTGAGAACCATGTTTTAGAGTGTTGACCAATACCTTGCTAACTTGTTAAATTATACATCTCTGTACACAGACAGACAGACAGACACATAACACATGAATGTGTCCCCTTAAGATGCATCTTCTGATTGTGGAGAACCCCGTGGAAAGTGAATCATTGCTGAAGACTGACTCAGGGAAATTAACTTGATTTCAGAATAACACCATCAGAATTGAATTTCTCAATCTATACTCTTTATTACTTGTTATTTTCCCTGGTGTTTGGAGGCAGTGATTTCTCTGTGTTGGTGTTAAATAGTGTTCCCCTAATGTTTTGTCTTGAGAATCCCTGAATGTCGGGGTATCTCTTTCAGTCTTGTGAAGGATTGTCTGATAATCATTTCCCAGTTCTGAGTATGCCCACTGGCCTGTTTTCCAAAAGTTTACTTACAGTTTCGTAGTTGATTGGAATTTTTAATTTGTTTTGCTTTTTGAGACAGGGTCTCACTGTGTAGCCCTGGCTGTCATGGAACTCACTGTGAAAACCAGGCTGGCCTTGAACTCACAGAGATTTGCCTGTTGTCCCAAGTGCTGGGATTAAAGGCATGCAACACTATTACAGGCTCAAATAATTTTTTTTGCATTTGTGTGTGTGCATGTATGTGAACACACACTTGCCACAGCACACAAGTGGAGGTCCAAAGCCAGCATTGAAGAGTTGACTCTCCTTCCATTCCGTGGGTCCAGAGCACTGAACTCAGGTCATAGCCGTAACTCGCTGTGCCCAGGGTTGACATTCCTCATAAATCAGTTTATAAATATATAATTTCAGGGAATTATTAGTTGTGAAAACTAAATCTAATGTTTACTGTCCAAAAAAGATGTACAACAAATTAAATGAAATGTCAATTCATTGATTTCCTAATTTCCCCCCCAGAAACCTGTGAGAGCCGCACCAGCTGTGTTTCCTGTGTTAATACCACCGTTAATAATACTACCTGCTTTTGGCTAGATTGCCAAGAAGGTAAGGCACTTCGGAGTCACAAACCCTACTGTCTATTCTTGACTGTGTGAAAATCCTGTAGAGTATTTAAGAGAGTGTGTAGTAGTTATTTTCCAGATCCAATACTTCCGTAAAGTACTAGTTGCTTAACATTTCCCTTAGAGTTCTAAAACTTGACTGTTCAGATTCAGTAGTTTTTAAAGGAGAGAGTTTAGATCTTGAGAAGGATTAAAGTGTGCTAACTGGAAAAGCTGCGTGTTTTCCTTTGGAAGTGGAGTCTTTTGTCTTGGGAGATAAACTGTAGCGAGAGTGTGGAACAATGTTGACAGCTTAGATAGGAAGGCGGGATAAGAAGGGAGAGTTGGTTCCTGTGCTTTTGTGACGTGAAGTTCATTAACTTAGCAAACATTTGAAAGCTGGGAGCTAGATGGAAGTCTGTTGAAGTGTAAGATTTTTCTTAGAATTATGATTTTACAATGTAGATTTTCTTAAGGTAAGGTGTGTGCACCTTTCCCTGTCAGCAAAACAGTCTATTAAAGAACTTTTCTTTATTTGCTAGTTTTTTTTTTTTTTAAAATACATCCCTGGAGGTACAGAACCCATAGGTTTTTTTGTTTTTTTGTTTGTTTGTTTGTTTGTTTTTCCAGTAAAAGGGGAGCTGTGTTAAGTTCCTTTATTCAGTGAGTCTAATTCTATGTGGCACACAAAGTTGAGAACACTCTTTGAACTTTGGGAGTTAACTTTGTGGTGCAAAGATGCTAAGCTGTACTTGATGCTAACCTATACAGTGGAACTTGAGAGTGGATCCTCTCCTGAAGGATTGGTCTGTGGGAAGTGTGGAGGTGTGGAGGTTACATCCTCTGCTTTAAGATTTGTTGTTGAAGGCTCTCCAGTTATCGCTCCAGGTCTGCCTGTTCAGGAGAACTGTTGGAAAGTGTGGCCAGCTAGAGCAGAAAGACGCAGAGCACAGGCATTGCTGCTTCTGTGGACCTCTCCTCACCACATCTCCTTCCGAGTCCTTAGGCTCTCGCGAATTCTGCTTATCTGTTCAGTAGACTCAAGTAGCTTTTTAGATCTGTCTCTAAGGCAGTGGGGAAGGGTTGCAGTTTTTATTGCCCTCAGCTTGAGAACTTAAGAGCCCTCTCCCAGGGCCCTGGGGTCACAGTCACAGGTGTAGACCAGCCACATTTGGCTTGGCTTCTTTTTGTTTTTGTTGTAGTAGTGTTCTAGAGCCTAGTAGCAAAGCCAGAGATGGAATGTAAGTGAGTAATTGCCTTTTGTCTCTCTCTCCCTCTCTCATAGCAAATAAGACCTATTGTTCAAGTGTACTCGTAAGTAATTGTAGCCACGTGAACAATACTGCCTCCTGTTCTGGTAAGTTTTCACGTCAGCAGCGCGGAGTGCTGACCACATGGGCTGGACAAGATCACTGCTACACTGTGCTAATGTTTAGATGATAGTTAAATCTGGGTTCCATGACTCAGCTAGAAGTCTTTCATTTCCTGCGCTAATGTTCAGTTCCTCCCTTGAAGTGTCACAACTAAGTAAACGTCTGTCTTCATCTTGTGTGTTTGAGAAATTGGGTTACTCCTTGGCTTTTACGCTTTACACTAAAAAGTCCTAGTTGGAACAGCTGCTCCCCACCCTCCGCCCTCCCTCCTCCTCCCCACCCTCCGCCCTTCCTCCTCCTCCCCACCCTCCGCCCTCCCTCCTCCTCCCCACCCTCGAGTTGCCCATTCAGGCGGTGAGCTGTTCATCTCAGTGTGAGCATTCTCCTGCCTCTGCTTCCCAAGTCCTGGGATTGCAGGAGTGAACCACGGGCCCAGCTGGCTAACGGTTGTCTTTTCTGATGTCACCCTAAGTTAATGGGGAAGTCAGATTCCAACTTGGTGTATAGATAACTGAATAAAGTGTTTTTGTAGAAAGTATCTAACCGTTGATGACTCTTGACTATTGAATTTTGATGGGGCTCTCTCCATCCCACTGTGAACTTGACGGGTTCCATTAGTGTTGGGTTAATTTTATCCTATGTGGGATGGATAATACGGTTAAGTCATACACAAACAAGGAACTCAGCCTTTCTCAAAAGTAGTTTAAACCTTACTGTGTAATGTTGTAGCCATCACGTTGATTTTTTTTTTCCCCTGCCCACAAGAAGGAAAAGAGAATACATAAGGCCTGTATCTGCCTTGTAGACATTTGTTATAAGCTGTGTGTGGCTAATTAATTGTGAGAAAGGCTAAGAAATGTCTTGGGGGAAGTGAGAGATGCCCATGAAAATTGATGGTTTCAGTTCTAAAGAAGGGGAACTAGTGTTGGGTGTGAGTAACGGTCTCGTCCAGGTGTGATGTTTCTGTTGTAAAACAGATTCCCAGATTGGGAAGCTGTTGCTACAAGCTTCCATCCGACAGCTGTAATGTGTCTCTGTTTCTCCACAGTGCCTACTGCCGCTCCAGTGCCTACCAACTCCACAGGTAATGCAAGACAACCTTCTTCTCCTTATTCTTTGGGGACTTGTCAGCCCTGTGGCTAACTTACTAGCTAAGAAATGGTGGTGTAGATTTAAAGAGGAGGGAAGACTTAGTTATGGACCACAGCAGTGGTGTAGGCAGTGGTCCCCTTTGAGACGGGCGTATAACTCGGGAGTATTTTGTTTGGAGTGACTCCCAGTAAGTTTACTTAGTTGGTACGTTGAGCCGCCCTTGGACTCAGTGTGGGTGTCTTATAAATCTCAGAAAACACAGAAGCACACGGGGAATTACAGTTCTCGTTATTGGGCAGTATGCCAGCATGCTTTCAGAAGTTCATTTCCTCGAAGAGTCTTTTCTCTGTGTATAGCTAAGTGTGCTTTTTATGGAAGAGGATCATAGTTAGCTGTTTGCATTGTTTTTTCCCTCTTCCTGGAAGCTGGTCACTCCTTCTCCCTGCAGTTGGAGACTGTTCATCTCACTGCTACAGTGAGACCCGTAAGGGCGTGGGCCAGGTGCTGAGAGGGTGTGGACAGAAATTAGCCCCAGTTTGTTACTGTCGGAAAGATGAGTAAAGTCGGGAGGGAGCCTTGTGTGTTGGGAATTCGTAGGTGGGCGTGTGTCATGAGACGGAGACAGGACAGCCTGTGGGAGATACTGACAGACACAGCCCTGGAAGTCAGGGAAACAGGCCAGTGGTGCACTGAGATGGTAAGTGTCGTATACTAGGTGGCGGTAAGCTTGGTACGCTTGACAGATCAAAAGCAAAACTGAGAAGCTCCTCTGTGTGCATTGCTTCTGAGACTTGGATGGTATCAGCATGGAGGTCCTCCCTCATAGGACCAGGCTTGTATTTTAATAAAATGTATTGTTAGGCCTGTGCAGGGTAAAAGACCAAAGTGAACTTGAAGTCAGCTACAGTGGAAATGTTCATGCTGCAGAAACCTGCAGATACTACCAAGTTTATCTTAGTGGACTGTTACTGCTGTTTATCTTAGTGCGCTTAGCTTCTGAACTTGTTAGAGACGATTGCCTAAGAAGATGGTGAACCTGGGCTGTGGACAGACAGAAGACATTCCCTAGACCCACTGTGGGCTTGGTTTAATCGTCTTCTCCATTGTTGATGTATTTTCCACTTGCTCACTTGACGTTGTGTCTTGTTGATTGAGTGGCCTTTCCTCGGTGCAGAGAGTATCATTGACAGTGGAGGGACCAGATTATGTCAGAGAAGTGGGAAATGTTGGTGGGTGAGTGGGAGACAAAGGGTTAAGTTTAGTACAGTTTTAGGTTGTTACTAGAAGTGATGTTATTCTGGGTGGTGATGTCCTTGCTGCTGATTACCAATAGTTTATTATAATTTAGGAATTTTGTTAAGAGTGGATAATGAAAACCAAGTAGCAAATCCGTAGATTTTTTTTTTAACCATAACATCAAACAAAACTAACTGATTTTTTTTTTTTTCTTTTGAGACTGGGTTTCTCCAGGCTGTCCTGGAACTAACTTTGTAGAGCAGGCTGGCCTCAAATTCACATCTACCTGACTCTCCCTCCTGAGTGCTGGAATTAAAGGCGTGTGCCACTACCACCCGACTAAAACTAATATCTTAAGATTGAAGAGAAGTTAATACATATTTAATCTGTAAAGTTCACGTTGTCGTATCTCAATTGTTGTGTGACTATGTAGGAGGTATGTGTTGTGGGACTTTCTTTGGACCACCAGCTCCCAAATAATGACACACAGGCTTCTTATTAATTATGAAAGCTTGGCCTCAGCTTAAGCTTGTCCCAACTAGCTCTTATAACTTAAATTAACCCATTTAAATTAATCTACATTCTGCCATGTGTCTCATTACCTCTGATCAATACCATGCATCCCATTTCCTCCATATCTGGCTGGCAAGTATTGCCTCTCTGCTTCCCAGAGTTCCTATCTCTTTCTGGAAATCCGGCCTATCCTCTCCTACTTAGCTATTGGCCGTTCAGCCCTTTATTAAGCCAATCAAAAGGTGCCTTAGCAGAGACACATCTTCATGGTGTACAAAACAATTGCCCCATAATAGGTGTATTTAAACCACAAAAGGAAATAAGTCTTAGAATAATCCTGCCTTCTGATGTAGGAATTGCGTCTGTTATTTCTCTTTGAGATACATGAGACAAGAAAGGGAAGCAAGTTGTCCTCGGCATTCTTTGGTGTGTGGGTGTGTGTGTGTGTGTGTGTGTGTGTGTGTGTGTGTGTGTACAACTTGCTTAGTCCATTTAGTGTTTCTTGTATGTATGTGATTTCAGGACTGGCCAGTTAGTATTGGATAACCAATTAGGAAGATACTAGAGGGCTTAGTCCTGGGGAAAAGAGAGATGGGGTGAGCCATATGGAGTAGAGAGCAGAGGACAACTTTGGAGTCAGTTCCTCCTTCCTCCGTTACCTGGGTTCTGGGGAGTGAAGTCTGGTCAACAGGTTCGTGTAGCAAGTGCTTCTTTTCCTGGCTGGTAGCTGGGCTGTCTTGATCACTGTCCTTCATGTCAGTCTTAATAGAAGTTTTACCACAGTCCTATGAGAATCAGCTTCTTAGGCTGCTGTTGACTTTGGGGTACCAACCGTGCCTTTGGGGAGTCCTGACCTGCATGCCTTTACTCTAGTGATGGCCGTCTTGAAGCCAGTGTCGGTGTGTAATTACTGTTGAAGCACAGAACTTGATATTTTAACTCTTCAGTAGAACTTGGGGGCTGGCGAGATGGCTCAGGAGATAAAGCACTTGCTACCAGGCCTGGTGACCTGGGTTGTTCTCTGAGACATGCATCGCAGAAGAGAAAACCAGCGCCTATGGGTTGACTTCCACACTTGCGCATGTCATCTGTTTACCCACCCATCCATACACAGATACAATTCATACTGTCGTTTTTTCAAAGGTGGTTCATTTTTTGAGACAGTGTCTCACTGGATAGCCTCTAGTACTGATACAAGAATTCTTTGAGATAACACTCAGCTGTAGAGACTGTTCATAGTTCCATAGTCAGAGGTCATTTTCTGTTTCCAGAGCACCTTAGTCTCTTACAGAGTGGGAGGTAGACTGTATCCTCCAAATGGGGGATGCTCTAGCCCTGGTGCTAATGCTGGTAAATAGGATTTCATTGGCACCCAACCATGCCTGCTCATTTCCTGCATGGTACATACAATATACTCAATTGTGTATTTCAGTTACATACACTAATTTGTCATAGAAGCAAGACTGTTCATAAAAGAACGAAAGCTGGAACGCTCTTCCCTAAATATACTTTGTCTGGATATGTGTGTCTTACATGTATACATAGATGTTGTCATAAAAACAAGTTTGTGCCGGCCAAATGTGTCAGAATATATGTAAATGCTTGCATTGGGTCATTAACTAAATGTGGCTTCTGTTCTTTAAAAAATTAAAAGTGTTGTTTTAAAAACTACATGTTGGATAATTGGGAAGTTAGAAATTTAAAGTTTCTAAATACATTTTGTTTTCATTCCAGCTAAACCCACAACTCGACCTTCCTCTCCTACACCTACTCCTTCAGTTGTCACATCAGGTAATTGGGACTTTATGAACTCCCAGTGACCGCCGCCGCCAAGGTCCAGTTCTCTTCATGGATAACTATGGGCTGGCTCAGCCCTGACTTAGAGCCCAGGCAGTGGTTGGCTCCTAACGCTCTGCCGAGGGTCCTCTTCTAGTCTTGAAGTGCTCCTATTTGGCTGGCCCTTTAGATTTAGGAAGTGTTTTCTCGAAGACCTTTCTGTAAGCCTTAGATGCAAAATCAGATTTGGGGCTACAAGTTACTTAGAAGGTGTGATACCATCACGGTTTTGGTGATACCATCAAGGTCAAATTACTGTTTTTAGTTAGACAAGTCTGAAAAAGCCAAGATCTGCACTCCCTATTTTTAAGTGGTGTTCATTTCCTTAGACTGGCTTGGACCTGAGGGCTCTTCGTACTGTGTGACTGCTGTGGCTCCCTGTTTTTACGCACACGCACGCACGCGCACGCGCGCGTGCACACACACAATGATAGAAAACACTAGGAGTGGAGTCGTTTTCATATGAAATTTTCAGTGCCTACAACTTGACTCTGCTAGCTACGCCCCACGTGGCTAATGCTAAGTTGGTCGGCTCGCCGGAGCCTGCCGCTGATGCGCTCCTCAGGAGTGTACACTTGACTTAGAGGATGCTACATAGTCATAGCCTTTTGGGTTCCTCTTGAAACATTGACTCCCTCAGTAATTGTAGATTTCTTCTGACTTGCTCTTACTTTTTCTAATACAGAATTAACTGACAGTACTTTTAGATCCTTAATGAGTATTTTGTTTGTAGAAATTTTAGTTTCCAAATTTGTTTTCCTTATGGCTTTGTAATGCTTTCTCATAATGCAAATTAACTAGCAGAGTACAGTTCCAACTATTTGCTATTATTATAGATTGTTAGTTACTTGTATTAACTTGAAAAATAGCAGCTGAATTTTTATATACCTCATCTAGCTAGTAAAACCCAAAAGTTTTAACAAATTTTTACTTTAGCAGTTAACCAAAATAGATTAACAAAGTTATTAGCATGTTTTAGAAGCACTTAAGAAATTGTAAGAGTACAGTTTATATGCCAGAGAAGCTCTTAGCTACTTTTAGGTTTGGAACCTTCTAGCGGTATTGCCCAGATACTACCTGGACAAAGTTTAAAAAACGGGAGTTTTCCTTAAATGAGGACAAATTTTAGTTCTGAAAACTTGACTCTAGAAGACCTTCTTTATAGAACTTAACTCAGGGCAAACTGGATGCCCCGGTGGGTCTGGAAATTATAAATACCGTGACACTTACTGAGGATTCTTTGTCTTATTGTCATAGCAGGTACAACCAATACCACCCTGACCCCAACCTCACAGCCGGAGCGCAAGTCTACCTTCGACGCAGCCAGCTTCATTGGAGGAATTGTCCTTATCTTGGGCCTGCAGGCTGTCATTTTCTTCCTCTATAAATTCTGCAAATCTAAAGAACGAAATTACCACACCCTGTAAACAGACCCATTGAAATGAATGCGGACTGGCAGTTAATGTGTAACTCACTGAAACCAAAATACTATCTTTCATCAAGTCCCACATGGAAGCCACTGTTCCAGGACCTTCATATTTCCAAAGGATGCATACAGAATATTCTTCCTTGAAGAAAAATCAGTTAAACCATTTTGCTCAACAGGAATATTTAAAATACTCTGCATGAATCCGTGTGGCTGTCGTCTTTGTTTCAAGTGGCTGCTGCTGTGGGATTCTGTTTTTCCCTTTGACATGCCAAATGTAACTTTCTGTAAGTTATGGAAAGTGGTGTCCTGTGCAGGCAACCTCCGACTGGCAGTTCCAGTGTGGTCATTTAAAAACCTCAAGTCTGTTATTTTCATCCTAAGGTGTGGCTTAGTGGCCAGAATTGAGAAGAGTGCCAAGTGGGCGGGCACCACGCCGCTGGACTGAGGGCTTCACTTCAGAGGTGGACTAGATTCACCTAGTACTAAACTGCCCTTGGAGTGCTGTGCTTGATGGGTTGTAGTTTCTGCATTAGAACTAGGATGCCGTGCAGGGAATCACATTCCAGATTTAGAGAAAGGGAAGATGCAAACCATGCGTGTGTAACAGGTTTTGTTCGTCCTCCTAAAGCACCCTATTCAGAAAACAGAACAGTGCCTTAAGACAGACCGAGACGGCAGCGGCACTCACACAAGTGTGTTCACGCTGTGGGAGGTCAAGCTTGGTCTGAGAATGTAACTGTTGGTGTGAGCAGCAGTGAACCTGCTTGTAGGTAACATACTGTTAATATTTAATTTAAATGTTGGTTTCTCCAGAGCTGAGAAATAGAAGCTAAAGAATAATTCTAAGCTGAAAGGCTTCCTGTTTCAAACCATCTAACATTTCTCATGGGGCTGGGCTGTTGAATAGACATAAGACTGATTTGATTATCTTTCCCTCTGTACACAGAGTATCCAAATATTACTGTACCTTAAGGATTCCTATCAGGTTTTCCTGAAAAGTAGTTTTTACATGAGGCAAGAAGGAAGTAGTTTTAGAATCATTTTCTAGTTCTTACAGTGAGACAATCACTTTGTTTTCTAACAGATGTGACCTGTGTAACTGAAAGCCTTGGGTTGGAGAGGAGGTTGCAGGAGATTTCTAATGCTGATGCCCTGGCTGAATAGGTGGCCTCTTTCCTTGGCCTTGGCGCCTTCCTCCTCGGTTTCAGTTCCCGTGTGCTGTGATCATGCAGACTTGGATTCCTGTAGCTTTAGGGAAAGCACTCATTTGTTTAGTTTAGAGTCCCTGCTCCCTTGCCTCTGACACATGGCCCGGTTCCGAGGCTCTAATTGGACATGGGCTTTTGGTTGCCTCCGTCATTGACGTCGGTGTGGTCGCCTCGTTAGACTGGAGTGGAGCACTGGTTCCCAGGGTTTAGAGGAGGAGTGACGGATGGCTTTAGTTCTTTCCGGAAGTGAGGCTCCCTGTGCTCTTCAAACGAAGTGTCTGTCTCTCTCTCACCTGCTGGTACAGCTGCAGTTTGTTTTACTTGCACATTGTACATACACCTAATGTTTTCAAGTGCCTTACTTGTTTCAAAATCTCTGGCTTCAAAGGTTTTTGGGGAAAGCTAGGTTTACCTCACAGTTTTGTTTCCATTATACTCTTCTAGGTACCTCACAGAATTCGTTACAGTGCCGTGGCTGTTAGATGTAAGTGCAGAAGTTCTTGTAAACACCCAGACTTTGCATTCCTTCCAAGGTGGCAGAAGTAGTGTGACTGTCGTTTACCTCCATGTGACTTCCTACCCCAGATCAGTGTCAGCACATGTAGCAGTCGTGTGAGAATGTAACTTGATGGAGGCTCCTGTAGTTTTGCGCTCCTGCTCTAACACTGTAGGAGGTTAGTGACCCTTTGCAGGTCTCGTTCTACATCAGCGCCTGCTGCACAGTTCACGGCTGCTCGCGCTCTTTCCCGTCTCTGTTTAGCAAGCGAGTATTTTGAGCCATTCGTGATTTTTGGGTTTTTTTTAATCCAGAAGATCGATAGAAACCCTTTCAGAGTTTTCATCTGATTTGTCCTGAAGATGTAGTTCTCTCAGACCCTTATTTTACCTTTCCTGTACTCGCTGCACAGGCAGACACTGCTGTACTTAGACATTTCTATTTGAGTTCATTAAAACCCACAAAACTAATCTGTATGTGTACCAAACTGATTTAAAATAAATACATGTTTACTGAATTAGTCTCTTTATTGGTCAAAAGTGTCTCATTTTGATTATAAAATTTAACACGTGTATTTGCCTTACCTGTCCATTTGGGGCTGGGTTGTCTCCTGTTTCTTAGTAGATGGTAACTAAAGGGTATGAATCAGTCAGTAGTGAACAGAACCTTAGCAGTGATAGCTGGACAGAGGACAGAAGGGACAGACCCCAGCTCACCTTAACCAAGCGTGTATGAGAATAGGTGAGAGGACATGTTCTGTGAGTCACTTCTCCTTTCCCTTTCTGGTTTCAGGGACTGAGCCCTCCTGCTAGCCACATCCTGCCCTTCACTTCAGAGCGTGTGTGAAAGGACACTCGGCTTCTGTTTAGTGTGTCACGCCATATGCAGTCCGGATCTGTTGGATCCTGTGCAAAAGCATCTGTATTTGATCACTTACATTACACAGGTTATTCACTACTCCCTTGCAAGTCTGGATAGAAGGATAGATTTAATAATTTGTCTTAGAAATGAGGCCTCCAGTTCCATGTTAGCCTTATCATTTGGTAATTACATAGAACTATAGCTTACCTTCCTAAAACACTGAGATTAATGATAGAGAGTGAAATAGGTTTTGTGTGTTTTCCCCATTGTCTGTGCTCATTATAGATAGCCCTTGGGGGCTGGGTCTTTAAAAGGGTATATATTAGCACTTTTAAATTTAGTAATGTTGGAGTTTTTGTTAGTGTAGCTGTTGGCAAATCCACCTTTTGTGTATCTTGCCTCTTAATTTGTATTTTGTTTTCCTAGTACAAATGTAAAAACCATCATATTCATTATAGATGATGGGTAGTCATTTACTTGGCTTTTTTAGGAAATTTGAATGTGGAACCCAAGGTTGCTATTTTTTTGCCATATGTATTTATGAATTTTTGATCCATTGTCTTTTCACGTGAAAAGGACATCATAGGACATGATGACAAGTCTGTTAGCATCATTTGTTCCGTACATGTTTGCCTCTGCTGCTGGGTTCGAGCAAATTGATGGTTGGGGGCTGTTACAGTTCTCCTTGTTGCTTGTGTTTGGAGATCTGTTGAGCTGTTGGGGTCTGCGTTTTCGTCATTGGAAGATGTCCAACCTTTGGTGGGGGTCCACACCTTCTGCTTTGATGAAGACTCTAGTTTTATAGAGGTTGCTAGAAATGGATCCACAGCCCATTGTGTTCCATACTAGAATAATTAAAATTGCCCCTTTAAGTTCCATAGCATTTTCCAGTATTAATGTGATATGTGTGTGTGTGTTTCTCTACATAGTGAGTTGTTTTTGTAGTTGTGTAGGGTTTTAATTAGAGTCATTTTTTAACGTCTGCATAGAATTGCTAATGCCAACATCTGGGTCACTTTCCGTTGACTTTTCTGCCCACACTGTGGGTTGTGGTTTCAGGTTTTGATGCATGCTTGGTAAATTTTTATTGGATGCCAGATGTAAGTTGGGAAGTACAGGATGTTTTTGTGTTCCTATTTTTATAATTGTTCTTCGGAAGCATGTTTGGTATCACTTCAGCTCCCTCTGGTCTACCGCCGTGGGAGCCTCAGAAGCTTCCTTCATCTCTTGACTTTCCTCTTTGCCTCTTCACCTTGCAGGTCCTCTGCTTTCTACCTGGGCTCCCGAGAAACTAAGGACAGGAGGCTGGCTCTTGTTTTGTCCACTACCTGATGTGTGCCAACACCACAGCTGTCATCTTAAGGGGATAAGAAATAGTTTATTCGGGAGCCAGTTTGAGTGACCATGGCCTGGAAATACAGATTTAGCTTACCCCGAATTCCGTGATCCAATGTGGAAGTGGTTTTAAGAAGTTTTATAGAACAAAGAGGTTCATAATCAAGGGAAGTTTAAAACTCACAGCGGCTACATCAGAGGTGGTTACAGTGAGATGGGGGAAGTTTTCTATAGATGCTATGTGATGACCTTCTTAGCTTTGGGCTTGGAAGCTAGTGGTCTGGTAAGTTAACAGATGCCGAAAGGTTATTAGTCACAGGATTTTCCAACACAGGTGGGCTCAGAATGGCTCTTCCAGAGGATTAGAGCTAGGCCAAGACAGGTAATTAGCCTCCGGATCTGCAGCATTCCAGACTCCACAGTACTCAGTCTCCACAGACACAGCTTCTTTCTAAGAGTTCTTTGAAAACCACTCTCCTATGTTTTGGCCACTTTCTTAGGTTTTGTGTGTGTGTGTGTGTGTGTGTGTGTGTGTGTGTGTGTGTGTGTGTGTGTGTGTGTGTGAGAGAGAGAGAGAGAGACAGAGAGACAGAGGGAGAGAGAGGGTTGAGGGCTGCAGCATTAGGAAAGGTTAAGAGAGGCTCTCAGGAAACAGGAAAGAACTTAAGTCTCATTGAGTTCCTGAAACGTACAGGATTCACACACATCACCTGACCCCCACCAAGGCTGTAAGTAGTGGGGAGAAGGGAGGCTCTCCAACTGTCAGCTGTCTGCACATCACACAGGGCTCTAGGATGGCCGCTCTTGTGAGTCAGCACCCTAGCTGGAGTTGGCTGTTAGGCGATACAGCTGTGTTTGAGCCATCTATGGTCTCACTCTAACCCATCACCAATTCTCCTGTAAATAACTCCCCAATCCACAGCTTCTCCGGGTTGAACTTTGACATAATCAGCACCATCTGGGGTGAATAGGCCTTAGTTCACATCTACCCAAGAAGTCTCACTGCACCAAAGAAAGCTACAGGATGGAGTGGGGATGGACCAAAAGAGGCTATGTGGACTGCAGTTGCCAGATTGGAAGGAAGCAGAGCTACTCAAGCCCATTGGAGCTCAGATGTCATCAGCAGCTCCAGACACTGAGCGTGGAGCTGCAGTCCTTCCCTGGCGAGTTTGTCTTGCTTTGGTCAAGTCTCTCCTTGCTATCCTCCCATTCCTCCCCTTTGGAACGTGAGGGTTTACTGTGCCAGCGTGTATTAGAAGTATGTACCGTGTTTTGATTTTACAGGGCTCATGATCCAAGAGTCTGAGAACAGACTTTATAAAATAGAGTATTCATACTGTTAAGACCATTGGACATTTGAAGTTGGACTGCATTCATCTTACTTTATGGGGTACCCATGAGCTTATGAGGGCCAAGGGTGAGATGTAATGATTTATTGATAAGTAGTTTGTGACCGTTAACTTCCTGTCAACCTGACTGGACTTTAGAATTACCTAAGGGACATGAGGTTCCAAAGAGATTAAGGAGGGAAGACCCACATAAAAGTAGTTTGAAAAAGAAGCCTGAGCCAGGAATGGCAGTGCACACCAACATCATGTGATCCCAGTGCTCAGGAAGCAGAAGCAAGGCAGATCTGAGTTTCTTGCCAGAGCTTCAAAGTGAGATCCTGTCTCAAACCTGCCACCTTCCTACCACCCCCCAAAGGGAGAAAATCTAATGTGTTTCTGTATTCCCTTTTCTGCTTTCTGATTGGGTAACTAGACAGTTCCCGCTGCCACGCCTTCCTACCATCCCAAGGTGTGAACTACCGATAACTAGACAGTTCCCACTGCCATGCCTTCCTACCATCCCAAGGTGTGATCTACCGATAACTAGACAGTTCCCGCTGCCACGCCTTCCTACCATCCCAAGGTGTGATCTACCGATAACTACAGTTCCCGCTGCCACGCCTTCCTGCCATCCCTACAAGTTGCTTCTGTCAGCTGTTCACAGCAATAAAAAAATCAATACACATGCATTTCTGTATGACTTGAATAGCTGAAAGTTAAAACGTAATTCTCTCTTGAGACAGGATCTGATGAGTCCAGGCTCCTCAAGCCACTGTATAGAGGCTGGCTTGAACTCCTGATCCAATGTCTCTACCTCCCAAGTAGTCAGAGGAGAACATGGGCTCTCTTGAACTTTTGCTGTTACGAAAACCAAGGGAGACTGTATCTATTCTCACTTACTCTCTCCCCCACCTTTGAGATTATTTTCATTGCTGTCGTGACTGTAATTTTGCTACTGTTATGAATTGTAAATATCTGATATTCAGAATATCTGCCATGCAACCCCTATGAAAGGGTTGTTCGACTCCCAAAGGGGTCACAACACACAGGTTGAAAACCAATGCTCTAGTATAGAACAGATCAAGTTGGAACTTCTTGTGTCTTAGGGAGGCTTAAGTGAGAGAAATTGCTGTATATCTCCAATATCACAGTCTTGTCCTCCTTAGCTTTAATTGTCATCTTGATACAACCTAGAGTCACTAAGAAGGGAGTCTCAATTGAGAAATCCCCCAGATCAGATTGGCCTATAGGCATATCTGTGGGAGACTGTCTTAGCTGATGTAGGACGGCCCAGCCCACTGTGAGCAGCACCATTCCCTGGGCCGATGGTCCTGGTTGTCTAAGAAAGCTAACGAGCATGGACCTGTGAGAAAGTCAGCAAGCAATTCCCCGTGGTTTATACATCAGGTTCATGCCTTGCCTTTTCTTAATGATGGGCTGTGACCCGAAAGTTGTAGGTCCAGTCCTCTCCTCCAAGTTGCTTTTGATCAGTTTTTATCACAGTAACAGGAAACTAAAACAGCTCTCTGTTGCAACTTAAGCTTCATCTTAACAGCTTCACTCAACGGCTTCTTGGTCCCCTTGCTGGTCATCCAACCTTCGAAGGCACTGCCTGGCCTCAGCAGCCAGTTCCTCGAACATTGGTGTGGGCTTTCATGTACCACATCATTTGCATTTTGCTTGTCTTTAAAACCGCTGCTGTGGACAGTGCTGCTAAGTTCTGCACAAATTTGAGATGTAGTCTGGCCTCTTTCCACTACAGCTGTAATGATCCCAGCCTAGGTCACTTTCCGGCAGGGATCGCCTTCAACAACGTGCTCATATCAAGTTCTCTCCTTTCAAATGAATTTGCGTTTTCACAAAATGGAGTCTTCATGGGAGGAGGGGGTCTTGCTTTTAGACCCCCATTCCTGTTGTCCCAGTGCAGAACGCAAGATTTCTCTTATGGCACTAATCTCTTGAGTAATACAGCTGCTCTCTCTGTACCAAACTT